TGAGCAGGAGCCTCCTCAGAAAAAACTGAAGGTTATGAACTCGGTGTCTGCTGCGCTTTGTGTGGCTGTGAATGGAGACTATGCTGTTGTGGGATACCATGGTACAGGCATCAGACTCTTCAGTCTTGACTCAGGTATAGGTGTCTGAGAAAATTGTATTTGTAAAATTTCAACAAGTGCAGATAAAAGGAGAATGAGAAGAAATGGCTTCAAATTCTTCTTAACTGCCAACATTTAGTTTTTACATTTCACTGTGTACACAAATCTTGGCTACAGTATATAGCTGCAGTCACATTATTATTCTGCAGCATAAACATTTCACCAGGACCAAAACTGTACAGAAATGAAAAAGCAGCTTTGATTTTAAGATGGACTGTTGTACTGTTAATACTTTTATTAAATACTCTAATGCTGTGTTTTTTATGTTGTGCCTTTGTACAAAATAAAAACAATGTAGCCACAAAATAAATCTAGTAAACGGGCTGTAACTGATTCTATTTTAACTGTAGGTGAGATGATCTGGGCCTCCAGGGATCTTGATGTGTCCATACTGTGCCTGCTATGGGTCGTTTTGGGTGCAGAGCAGACTGAACCTGATCTGCTTGTGTCTGGAGGAAGTGACAAACGTCTGAGGGTCTGGAAGAGGAAAGAAGGAGAGGAGGGAATGCTGGGAGGCCTGCAAATGCTGGGCATGTTTGGTGTGCAGCAAGGTGCTATCCTGGCACTAGCACAAAACTCCACGTACCTGGCTACAGCTTCAGGTACGTGTTGCTGATGGTAAAGTTAAAACACGACCATGTGGTTTTTTTAAAAGACTGATTTTCAAGTTGATATAAAATATTTCCCAGGTAAAAGGAGCTGTTGCCAGTGACTGTGTCGTATTCCTAATAGCTTTTTATTATTTGGCTTCTGTTATTTCCCCTTTATTCAGATGACTTCACTATTGTTTTGTGGTTGTTGAGTGATCTGACCCTCAACACCTCAGTTGAGCCACACGCGTGGCTGAGGAGCCACCGTGGTGGAGTCACCTGTCTGGCTTTTAGTCCTGATGGTGGACAGCTGCTGTCTGGTGGAAAAGATAAGGTAGGACAGTGTGTGTGTGTGTGTGTGTGTGTGTGTGTTTAT